TATCCGCTGATTGTGAGCGCTAATTCAAGCTATGCCTGTATGCCATGCTGAATTGCCGTCTTGATACAGAGCTTTTGTATCTGTTTCAAAAGGCAATGTTTAACACATAGCGCCATCCGAGCTTCCTACTCTAACAAAGTTTCTTGCCTAAAAATCAGTAAATTTGTAAGCTCAATACTTCAAAAACTAATTGAAATTGTATAGATGAAAGGCTGATGAACCTGTCTTCAGAAGTACTATCAGATGATTCATAGAGAAATATATAGTGCTGCTTAAAAAGCGAACTTCTTTATATCTCGGAAAATAATAATATAAGAAAAATTCGTTAGGAAATAAAAGGTTGTCCAGTGTTCAGAGTTACCGTGGATATATTAATATGACTAATATTATAATGACGGACAAATTTTCAATTGATTGTTAATATTTGATAATAACCAAAAATTTAGCGATGTTATTTATTGTAAGGAAAACATATAAAATGCATATGAAACAACTTTCCATGAAAGCACGTTGCTGGTTTTACAATGTATAGCTAATCGGGAGCGGTATTCAAATATCAATGATGATTATATTCGTTAATTTGCAAAAAATCGAAATTTTAGTTTATTTGTATTCATACCTATATTTATTTTACGATATGTCTACGAAATATGTACGAAATGCGAATAAACCAGTCGAATTAGAATCGGAAAAAATTGTAAAAGTAATTTTTTTACACAAAATGGTTCGGAAGATCATTTGAAATGAAATGTATGTGTTGCAAATTTATGAAAAGTTGGGCGTCGTAGTTAAAAAAAGGCATATAGGTACGAAAAACATGTTTTTCGCGTATAAAAAGATAAATAGTGATTTTACAGGAAAAAATTTAGATTGAGAAATGCAGGCATAATGTAGGAAAGATCGGCAAAATGAGACCTATAAGATCAAAATCGATCGATACGTTGACTTGCAACAAAATAAAAACTGTCAAAATAGACCTCATTTTCACTCGTTTGTTATTCACAGAGATTTGAACGCACGACTTTAAAATTTTAATAAAACATGATCTTGGTAATCATAAAAAGTGTGCCAAATTTCAGTTTGAAATTTTTGTTAGATTTTGTACAAAATTGTTCGCCTCATCCCAAAAGGGTCTCCGTAGAAGTTAAGTTTCTATAGCTTTGATAAGTTTTTTTTTTTAATTTTTTTTATTTATTTATTTGGATTTTACAATTTGTCCAGTAGGACATTTGGTAAAATGTTGTAGCTGTATACTAATATAACATGTGGGTGGCTACTCCCAGCGGGGTACCATCATCGTGTTTGTTAGGTTATGTCCTTTGTGAGATCTGTTGGGTGTTTCCTTTTTAATCTTCTTTTTATGCTTGATGTGTCGACCGTTTCCGCCTTTGATAAGTTGCATAGTAAGCTGTGAGCATGCTTTCTATTCTTTAATACTTGCACTATCGTATACATTTTGAAATGAAGTAATATTTCTAAATTAAATCATCTAAAAGTGGTTCTGGAAAATAAATATGTTTCTTTCCTCTAAAAGAATGAAACAATTCTTTTAATTTTTGTCATAGCGAATTGGCAATAAAATCAATCAAAAACTATTATTATTACACGAATTTACAGAAAAGTTTTCTTTCATGAGATAACTTTTTTCTTTCAAAAAAGTAATTCTTAACAATAAGAGCTAAAAATTTCACAAAGTGTAAAACAGTGGAATTAATTGCCCTTCAATTTTCGAATGAATTATTTCAGAAAACCTGCTTTAACTTTAATAAGTCATGAAGTTTCAGTATACGGACAAAATAGCGAGCAGTTGCGCAGTGGGAACAGTGGCGACATGCGTCGGTTTATCTGCGAACACGCCTAAAATTGAATTTGCGCTTTCAAACTGCTGGTACCTACATTATCTCAGCAATAAATTGACGTAAAACGATGATTTTTAAAAATCTGGGGCAGCTCAATGAGGTATTGACAGAGAATACAATCAATTCTTTCAAAAATTATATTCAAGCTCAAAATTTTTAGTTTTTTGGTTTCTTATTTTTTATATTTCTTGTTCACTATTTATATATGACATAAATGACATAAATGACATTTTACGTGACAATAACAAATGTCATATAATTTAAATTTCTTAAATATGCAATTTTCGTTATAATGCTATAATTAGAGAATCTTTAAGAAAATGTTACCGGTTTTTTGTTTTGTTGCAAGTTAACGTATCGATCGATTTTAACTTTATGGATATTATTTTGCAGATCTTTCCAATGGCTATATTCCGCAATAGAATCCTTTTTCTGAAAAATTATTACATTTCTTTTCATATGCGAAAAGCTCGTTTATATCTTTTTGAAACAATGACGCTCAACTTTTTATGAGTTTCAAACTCATATGTTTCATTTCCAATGACCTATCGAACCATTTTCTGCAATAAAATTGTTGTTTACAATTTTTCTCGATTTTGGGTATTTTGGAGGCTAATTAGACTGGTTTAGAACTGGTTGCCCGAATATGCATTCAGTATGCGGTTTATACGTGTCAGTGCTGTTTCACTATTTATCCAAAATAGAGCTTGGCTCTACTCTATTCACTATTTACTCTGGAGAAACACTGCGGATGAAACAAGGATGAGAACAGTGCTTTTCAATGAATCATCCGTGGTGTTCTTTCAAAATGAAATTGTGTAAATTCGGCCTTAATCTTCGACAAAATAGTTTTCGAGCGAGTACAGAACTCAACGTTAAGCAGCGTGTGTTGAGGTACAAGGCGGACACTTTGAATATTTTCATTAAATGTCTGTAACTCGAAAACTAAGCTATGTAGGACATACATATGTCCATAAGATGTCTTTTACTTATTTTCGTGATATTCCGATAGATATTCTGTCCCCATCTCTGAAATATTGACATGTATTTATGAATCATCCTGTATATAGAATAAATATATTAACCATGTATTTTTTCGCAATAGAATAGTAGGAAGATATTGAGGTCAAGTTCTTTTTTTTAAACAGGATCTTATATATTTTTATATGTAAGTATATGATGTACTAAGGAAGTCATTTCGTTCTACTCCGCAAGGTCATTCTGTTAAACCCTGCTACAAGTCACTCACTCATCCAATCTTGTAACTTCTTCATGGTATTGAAGAAGTATCGACTATCATGGTATCGACCATCGTCGATAAACAGTTTTCATATGATATTCTGCATACTGGAAACTTTATGAAAGTTTGGGAAAACAAGTTCAACTTTTTGCAACTATATTAGAGTAATGTCGCATAAATACACCGTTAAGATTCTTGTTGAAATGCCTTTGTATGTATAGTATATAATATATGTATATATATACGTTCGATCATATAAATATCTATATAGATAAAATTTTAAGTGATCTATTAAATTTACTATCGCCAATAATTCTCTTTCTATAATAAAATAGAACGCTGATAAGTCTACTTCATCTTATTATGAAGAAAAAATTCTACCAATTTCAATGCTTAGAAAAGAATAGTATTATTGTATGCTTTCAGTGTTCTTTGCTTTTTATATTTTATATATGACAATTTCAGACAAATATACTATAATAAACGCCAGTTTTGTGAATAATATATGTCTTTAACGTAGCTTATGATTAGTATTGTGAATAGTAACTAAACCAGGGTACGATGTCAATGCTTCTATTTCGACATAACGCTACACTCTTTGATACGTGTTTAAGCCTTCTATAGCGACAAATTTATAAATAAACTGAACTTACAATGACGGTCATACGTTGCAAAGCATATACTCTTACATACAATTATATTGGAAACGAAATAATAGAACTGAAGAATAACGAAGAATTACTTTGCAAAGATGTACAAAACAATTAGAAAAGAAAGGATTGCTTATATTTATATGTATGTTGCAGTATATGTTTGCGGTATGTGTATATTACACACACACACGCGCGCGCGCGCGCACGTTTCTTTGAATACACATAAATCTGGCATAAATATGCTACTGTTTTTATAGATTTACGTTATTTTGATATAAATTTGTTATGTACGTAATCTACTCAATTCGCTAAAAAGTTGTTTTGCACAGTGGTTACAAAAAGTACCTGCACATAATGAATAAAAGGCTTTTTTCTACATTTTATTTTCATAATATCAAATTTTAATCCTTCTACGAATCCTTCTACTTCTAAATGATATGAAATTTAACAAATGTACCTGGTTTTAATGAAGTAAGATACAAATTCAGTAATAAGTAAAATGATGTGCAAATACTTTTTGTGGTCAATGTGTATGAGAGATTATTTGAATGCATACGATGTTTCCAAGTTAATGTTGCTTGTGATAAATATAAAATATTTTTTAATATAAATAGATAAATGTCCGAAGAAAAGTATTTCTAAATCAGGAAACGTAAAATATAAAGAGTATCTCTTAGAAAAGACAATCATGAAATGCAGTAGCTTATTATAGTAGTCCATTTTTAATGGTTAAATATTTGTTAGCTTGTGCTTATAGGAAATATCTGGCTGGTACATATACCTACGTATAATGTGTATAAATATAAAAACATTTAAATATACATTTTTGATGTTAAATAATAGGAAAAGAAATAAATATTGCTATTGACAAAAAATAAATTATTTGAAATAAAAAAGTTAATGATAGTTTAGAAAAAAACTAATTTAATAAAAAACCATATATATAATATATATATATATTTTGACATTATCGCTTAAAGCTTTTTATGTCTTTATATTTTTCTTATAAATTAAGCATCTTTAATTGCAATGTTTTGATATACTACAACTTTCATTGCGTGTAATGGCATAAATTGTTACTTTAAGCTTTAATTAAATGAATTCGTACCAAGATAGAGATCGTTCGATACAGAGTCGTAAAATTGGCCAATGATTATTAAATTGATCGTTGTCTTGCGTGATAACGATTACAGTAGTTTAGCTGCCAAAAATCCACCTCTCTTCCCTCTATCCTCCCTCTAAGTCGTTTCTTTGCCACTGTTCTTTCGGAGAGGGGCACTCTTCTTTTACTTAAAGGGAAGACCGGTGGGAAGGCAAGGAAAATCTTATAAGCTAAAATAAAAGCGAAACAAGGCAAAGTCCGCGGGAGTATTTTTTTCAGTCTCAAGAAGTGCTTAGTGGAGTGATTATCGTATCACAGGTATTATCTTCTCAAATATTGTAACACGTTATATTGTATAATTGACAAGCTGAAATTATAAGTGAGGTAATGATAATCTATTGTGAAATCGTCCGAAAGTGAAGAAGTCGCATTTTGTTTTATGTGCAATAAATCAAATAGAAAAATAAAAAGAAGAGGAACGTAATATTTTGTTGAAAGTGATATTGCCGTGGCATTATCGTATAAATCCTTTAATAAGTTTGAGTTTGAATGTTGACAACTAAAGTAAACTGGATAGTAACTTTTGCTAAGCTTAGTGAAATTTTATTAGTTTAATAAAACTATAAAAACAATTTTATGAAAAGTTAATCGATTACCTTTAATATTTATTCATTGATATCTTATTTGCTTTTTCGGACCTTGGGGGTTTTGGTTTTTATACCCTTATATCTACTTCTCGCTACTCGGTAGTATAAATATATCATACATATAAACTTAAGACCTAGTATCTATCGTATCTATTTATAAATTTATTGGGTTGTAACATAAATAGGTTCGGTCAAATAAAGAAAAATATTGAGTTTAACTGAATTTACTTATGTTACAACCTAATAATTTTCAGATTTAAGATCTGAAGCACAGCTGAATCTGTTTATCTCTTATTACCAAATACTAAATACACCTATTTTTGGTGCATCTCCTGCTTTCCTATCAAAGCACTTTGCTTTATGTGATTTTTTCTCTATCTTTTGTTTGTTCTTTTTTCTTGTTCTCTTTGCCGTGTTTTCTCTCCTCACACTCCTACCCCACATTTCCTTTATTTTCCTTTTTATTCCTTTCATCCAGTTCTTTCCTACTTTTTCCTCCAATATTGTCTCTGTTTCTTCTCTTCCTGCTTCCATTTTCTTACGTCTGTTTCTTAAATGTTTTCACAGTAATTACACTTTTAATATTTATACTATTTTTATTTCTAAAGTTTGTATGTTGCTTGCGAATAATTGGGAATGTATTATGAGCTATTAAAAATTGAATTTGCTTTTTCATACATGTATGATTATATCGTATATCATATGGGAATTATATCAAAATCATGATATAATTGACATAATTGATTTAATTAGATTGTCGATAAATAAAGCATTCTGTTATAATAAATAGGAATTGATGTCACAATCAAACAGTTTGTTGTACTTTAACGTGACCTGCTTTCATTCGTTAAATATATCTCATTAGCTAAATATATCAATCGAGAGTACTAGTTGTAACATCTACTTAGAAAGAAGGCTACCAAACATTGATAAGTGTTTAAAATATGCGAACGAGTCTTTGAAATGAACGAGACCCGCTAGATCTTTCTATAAACTATCAGTTATATATGTAGAACAATAATATGTTCAACCAATATAAATAAAAAATATAATTGATATTTCTCTTTCTTTCGAACAAACCTAAACATTTCGGTTGTTGACTCATACATACATATATAAGTATAACGATACATACATCTATAAAATCAAAATAATATACATAATTTCACTGTATAAAAAAAGAGTTTAGAAGAAGAAGAGGAAAAATTGTTGTTATATCTCAGTTTACTTTTGACAGACGTGAACAAATATGTGGGCAGATGAGGAACCAGCGCCATGGGATGTCGAAGAAGCCCCGGCGGAACAAGCTCCTGAAGCATCTGCAGAATCAGCCGCCCCAGCTGCTGATGCAGCGACTGGAGAGAAACCAAAAATCAAATTAGAAAAAATTGAACCACCGCACTACAATCACCATTGGGTTCGCCCTCTCTTTCTTAATTACGCGTATCTTTATGAGTATAGGTATGGGTTTTTAATGTAACTCAATTAATTAATATTTCACATTTTATTAATAAAGTCCTACAGTACAAATATTCATTTAAAAATTGAAGTATCAATATTTTTAAAGTTATGAATTTTTTAAATTACTTTAAATTTAGAATGAATTTTCATAAAGAATTTAAAGAAAAAATTGACTAATTTTAATTACAATTACAAAACTATTTACTTTTCTCTTTTTACAATTGAAGAGTTTGCAACAATAAGAGGGTATCTCAATGTTTAAATTTTCTTTATTGGATAAGAAAGGGAGGTATGGGTTCATACTTAAAAGAGTAGAAGAGTTTATTACTATGAATATTTGTCGATTATGACTTTATAGCAGGTTTGGAAAAGTAATTTGGTTGAGTTGGTTCTTGTTGGTTTACTATATATTATGATCTTATATATTATAAATTATTGATAAGTGGAGTTGTCTTTTTATTTCAGCAGCTTCTTCAATTATAATGTCAAATTGAGGTTGAAATCAAATTTAGATACTGTGAATATACCCAACGAATTAAATTCAGCTATTGAAAGTAGTTTCACTATTTTATTAGGAGAACAGATATTATTGAGATTTCAATATTTATTTAATAAAAATAAACTAGTGAATAATATTTAGTATTATACAATTTGTTTATATTAATTCGCTACCAGCTATCAGAATTTAAACATAGAGATGCACAAAAAGTGCATAAAATAGTTTTAGAGAAGATTTATAATACATCTAAAATAATTCTTCTAATTTAAAAGTTGCTATAATTTTAATAATTGAAAAAGATAATTCATAAGATCTATAAATTCTTTTAATGTAAACGATGACAATAATTATAATTAGGTACTATAAGTATATTTCTATGAATTTTTGATTCTTTTTTTCTTTAGAAAAAATTATTACAACGATGTCATTGATTATCTGAACCAACGGGAGAAAGGCATATTTCGAGAACCTCCCAGAGCACAAGAGTGGGCTGAACGAGCAATGAGGACTTACGACGAAAAGAATACCGACAAGAGTTTCAAACGATCTGCAGATATGAAATATATAATTAATATGAGACATGAACCTAGATATTACAGTTACCATACTCGAGCATATTATAGTTTGAAGTATCAGAAAATTTTGTAAATTATTTTTTGATAATAAAGTTATATAACTTAATGATATATTGGCAGAATTGACATATGCAGCATAGATGTAAAGTACATTACAGTCGTTTTTATCTATATGAAATTTATAATACCAAATTTCTAATAATATTAATTATTTACCCAAACGTAACTATATATTTTTCACGAATACTAATACCAATTTTAAGCATTGAATATTTTCTAAATGGATTTTCTTACTACAAAAATAAACTAGAGAAATATTTCTTATTTCTTCAGCTAATAAATAAACCATAATAAACCAGAAGTCATTATCTATATTTGATTCCACAGAAAATTCAAATCTCTATCTCTTAATTTTGTATAAGGATTGTATTGTGCTAAGTACACAGACTGTGTCATTAAGAAACACTGTAAAAAAGGTACATTTTATCCTATTTAAAATGTATAACCTCCTTCGTTATTCTGTTATATGACCATTTAATTTTGTTTAGTAACTCATACTTATATGTACACATATCTTACTTACATCATATGTATATACGTATTTACGTATAACATACACATATGTATAAGCTATGTATTATATCTAACATCAAATTCTGCATACACCTATTACAATGTATGTATGTCATCGCAATATCGTTATAAAGTAAATTTAACTATATATACATATTTTGAATCAATGAGATACATCTAATATAGATTGAAACCTTTGCAAATGAATTTTGATATTGTAGGAACTTTTCATTACATAGATAAATTTCAGAATAATGCCAAATTTCGACCAAAAATTCCTGCTGTTTCCTAAGAAATTCGTTCTTAAAAATTTTTCGAAAATTTATCATATTCAGACCACTGTTTGTCAAAGGACTTTCGCATTCTCATTCATTATGATCTCCTAATGAAAAAATGTTATTTCATAGTTATGTTTTTCAACCATTTTCTTCTCGGTTACATGTGGTATACTTCATGATGTTTATTAAAACTACAAATGTTTATGAAAACAAAATTTTCGTGTGGTTTATATATATATGTTTTATTTAAATATTAATATTAAATAATATCGGTACATTTTATATAACACAATAGTAATTTAAAATATTCACTGAATTTTTTAAAATGTAACACTTTTCTTTTTATTCGAGAATTTCCTTTTTAACGGTAACAATGCAATGGTATTTAATGGATTGACAATTTCATTTGGTTCCATTATTGAGTTGATTTTGTCTCTTCTTGATTTTGTAGGTTGTGGCATACACGATTCTATATCAATATTAGGAACTTTTATAAATTTTATGGTTTTTGGCTGTGGTTTTTCTGACAAAATTTCCATATTAGGGAATTTTTTTAATCTGGTGTCATCGCAGCTATCTGTGTTATCGAATTTTGTTGCATGTTGTGCAAAAGCAATATCCGCTTGTTCGAGAGTATTTCTAGCTTTTTCGATTTCTGCATTCAAGTCAATAACGTCGAAAATACGATCCTGCAAAAATAAATGACAGCATAAATTTATGAAATTCTTGTAATATCGTTATTTAATGAAACTTATACAAATTTATAGACAGATTTTCATATATTACTCATTTATTCATTCAAAATAAAAGATTCCATTATATATATATATTATATTATATATATATATAATGTATATGAGATGATTTTAAGGTGATTCTATATCTGAGTGGATGGAGATTTGTTTAAAAAATATATCGCCAAATTGACCTTGATTTTGGAATTTAATTGAAATTCAACCGATCTTTTTTATATTATGTAAATAATATAACCTGCATGTCTCTTCGTTTACGCCTCAATTCCGCCAGATCTTCGTTAAACGCAGCGGCCGCACGCTCCTTGTAACGCCGTTGGTTGATGACAAAACTGTCTTCAAAATCGTCTTCGATTCCTCGCCCAGATATATAACACAAGTCATCGAATAGGTCATTGCGGCATCCAGATATATTGTGAGGATCTAAAGTATTTGAATGATAATATTAGACAACTTGACATCAAATAACATTTTATAATTAATTTATAGTTAATAAATGGTATATGTATAATAGTATGATAAAAACTATAGTTTTCGAAGAAAATATTTTAAACAACTTCAATTGAAAGATATTCTAACTGAATATTACTGAAGGAGATTATTTTATACATGGAAAGAAATTCTGAATGTAGAATGAAATTCTTTCGTTTTAGATCTAGTTTTCGAGAAAATCGAAGTTGAAAAGACAGATACGCGTTTACTAGACTAATTCTTGGAATACCCCTAAACAATAATTTTGCAAAATGCCCCTAATTTTTTTCAATTTCTTCATAAAATTAAGTAACAACTAACAACAACTAACAACAACTAACAACAACTAACAACAACTAACAACAACTAACAACAACTAACAACAACTAACAGCAACTAACAGCAACTAACAGCAACTAACAGCAACTAACAGCAACTAACAGCAACTAACAGCAACTAACAGCAACTAACAGCAACTAACAGCAACTAACAGCAACTAACAGCAACTAACAGCAACTAACAGCAACTAACAGCAACTAACAGCAACTAACAGCAACTAACAGCAACTAACAGCAACTAACAGCAACTAACAGCAACTAACAGCAACTAACAGCAACTAACAGCAACTAACAGCAACTAACAGCAACTAACAGCAACTAACAGCAACTAACAGCAACTAACAGCAACTAACAGCAACTAACAGCAACTAACAGCAACTAACAGCAACTAACAGCAACTAACAGCAACTAACAGCAACTAACAGCAACTAACAGCAACTAACAGCAACTAACAGCAACTAACAGCAACTAACAGCAACTAACAGCAACTAACAGCAACTAACAGCAACTAACAGCAACTAACAGCAACTAACAGCAACTAACAGCAACTAACAGCAACTAACAGCAACTAACAGCAACTAACAGCAACTAACAGCAACTAACAGCAACTAACAGCAACTAACAGCAACTAACAGCAACTAACAGCAACTAACAGCAACTAACAGCAACTAACAGCAACTAACAGCAACTAACAGCAACTAACAGCAACTAACAGCAACTAACAGCAACTAACAGCAACTAACAGCAACTAACAGCAACTAACAGCAACTAACAGCAACTAACAGCAACTAACAGCAACTAACAGCAACTAACAGCAACTAACAGCAACTAACAGCAACTAACCACAACTAACCACAACTAACAACAACTAACAACAACTAACAATAACTAACCACAACTAACAACAACTAACGACAACTAACAACAACTAACAGCAACTAACAGCAACTCGGAAGCTTACAATAACTCGTCCACTCATTGTACACAATTTAGCACAAATTTAGTTTAGTGACTCGTAGTGAAGCTCCTTCCACAGTACTCTGTGCAAAATTGATTAGAACTGTCCTTGCAACTGACTAACGGCTGCCTTTTATACTACGGTTTCGGTATGTCTACCACACACATAGATGTGGATGACCCATGCTCAGGTACACCATTTTTAATTATCCCATGTCGTAAAGGACGACGGATAAATGGTCAGCACTTATATTGCTTTGTATCTAAAGTACATTGGGATTTCTCTGACACTACAATATATTATTTATGATATGTACAACATTGCAATTGAACCACCTGGATTTGCTTCTTTCTTATGATCGTAAATCTCAACTCTAGCGTATGATTGCTTCGTGTCTAGTTACTGCGTAAATTAATATTGATTAATTTGAGTATCGAAAGTAAGTAAATGAATATTATGTTCTATACGATATGATATTTATATACGATAGATTACTTTGCATGAGTATATGATTATTCGAATAACTAGTATCGACCAACTTTTATCGTCATTGACAAAATACAGTGACTCACGAAAGTATTCGAATGTCCTCCAAAACAGAGTGATATTTTTCAAACTGAATCAAAGACTTGAATTTTTTTGAGGGGTTAGAAAGATTATGTAGTTGATTATATGACATGTATTGTTACGTCCCGTGACTTTCTACACAAAGTAGACTCCATATCTCGGGCAAAATGGCTACCTGATGTGTAAACACGCTTATTGCCGATCCTCGATAACCTTAAGGACTCATCATAAATCTTAGCATTTTCATAAGTAAGGTTCTTAAGACCATACAAGTATCTTTTAAATTAAAGTATTTCTTATATTTACTGTCCAGTCCGAGAAAACACAGGAAAGCGGGTTTTCCTATGTACAATACTATCCATTTGATTGGGGGCGGTCAGCACTCATCCTGACATATCCGTCCTGATTTACCAGCCTTTTCCTTATCCAATTAACAGCAATGACCGTTGCCCTAACTTTCCTAACCAAAATTGCCATCAACATCGACGACAGCATCGTCGCCGAACTTCCCTGGGTTTACGTCCTTGGACCAGTCAACATCTTGACTGATTTTCCGTTCTTTGACTAGTCATCATCTTAACACTTAGTCAAACCGAACGGGGAGATCTCCCTTTTTCATTTTAGGAACGGGTTTTCTTTTTTTTTTTTATTGTTATTATCAATTATTCTTTACCTTAAGGAACAATAAGTAGGTATTGTTCCCAATTAATTGCGTCACTTTTTCTGTTTTTATAAAGTACAGTATATAACAAAATACACCAATTTAGTGGTGTTAAAATTAACACCACTTTTACAGGAATTGCCTGTGACACCACGATGAAATGCTAAATAACTATTCTATGTTGTTATGTCCAGGAACCTACTATAAATCATAATCCATCCCTCGGTCATACTTATTCGGACCGGCAATAGACCTGAAGAACCATTATTGAGATTTAGCATTTTCTACTTTACTATGAAGGCCCTTAATTGTTATCAAACATATTTCAAGTCGAAACTTTCCTTAGGGTTATTGTTCCTTAAGGTAAAACACGCAAAAGCAGGTTTTTCTCATGTTCGACAGCCACTGATGGGAGGTGCACATAATAGATCTATATTTCATGTATAAATAAAATTATTTTTATATGTTTTATACTGCATTAATTTCGTTACATCATTGTAGTAACGATGGAAATAATAACAAATTTATTACTCTTGACATTTGTTTAAATCATGTGTTTCTACATGTGTTTTAACCTGTTAACTCAGTGTTATCATCGTTTCAACCACCTCTATTCTCTTAACCGAAATAGGGGATCGACTGATTCGTGGCGTCGATTATCGTATCGTAACTGCTACCGCGTCTCTCCGCGAACGGTCGAACATGTACAGAAAATTTTGAAAAAAGCGTTTGATTGAAAGCACGAAGGAAAAAATAAAAGTCACCTTCTACGACTTTATTATATGGGGCTGTAATGAAAATTTAAACAACACATTTTGAAGAGTTATGTACATACTATTAGTCAGCTATATACATTCTGAAAAGTTCATTGAAATCGGTTAACGTTGCTATGAGCCAGAAACGGTTAAAAATGATGAAAATTGCAGTTTTCTACTATCCATCGGCTTTTAATTGTAATATATCCACATTTTAGTCCATATTTTGATGCCTGTTGTTTGTTTCTGTATAAATTGATAAGATCAATTAAGCGGAAAATAGTAATTTGTGATTTAATGAATATACATGTATGTACTCGTGTATACTATGCTATGTTATATATCGTATGTACTCGTATAATTATAATGTATTTAAACGGCATCATAAACAATGAGTCAGACACTCTTTTGTTTCAAATCATCCATAACAGAAATTTAGCCTACAGTAAGTTTAGCAAATAGGGGAGCTTGTGAAAATGAATAATGTATTTGTTGAAGAGATGACCAATGTCTCAAAGTGTGTATAATGACGTCACTGCCCTTCGACTTACCTTTAGCATTGTCACGAACACTTTTGATGTAAGTTACAGAATCTTTTTTATGAATAAAAATGTTAATACTTTTGAGAGTAATTCTATTATTATTCGATTATGTTCCAAGAGCTGTGAATTTTTTTATGGATTGTAATAATAAGAAAAGATGAAACAAAAAAAATATATGCAAATATTCAACAATCTGTGATCAAGAATTCTCTTAATCAAAACAAAAAGTTAAAGGTATTCTCATAATATAAACAAAAAACATGGTATTCAAAAAGGAATCGTTCTTGCATATATGGGTGGGTATACAACATGCAAACACACTATGTATTCAGGATACATTGGAACAGTGAAATTTATTTACAAATAAGAGAGATTAACAGAAATACATATAGTAAGGTTAGGACAATGTTTTTTTCTGGCACACTATGTTGTGATTTGACTCTTGACTATAAAAGAAAGAGTAGAAATGAAATTAATTCTTCGCTTAATTTTTCTACTATCCATCGGCTTTTAATTGTAATATATCCACATTTTAGTCCATATTTTGATGCCTGTTGTTTGTTTCTGTATAAATTGATAAGATCAATTAAGCGGAAAATAGTAATTTGTGATTTAATGAATATACATGTATGTACTCGTGTATACTATGCTATGTTATATATCGTATGTACTCGTATAATTATAATGTATTTAAACGGCATCATAAACAATGAGTCAGACACTCTTTTGTTTCAAATCATCCATAACAGAAATTTAGCCTACAGTAAGTTTAGCAAATAGGGGAGCTTGTGAAAATGAATAATGTATTTGTTGAAGAGATGACCAATGTCTCAAAGTGTGTATAATGACGTCACTGCCCTTCGACTTACCTTTAGCATTGTCACGAACACTTTTGATGTAAGTTACAGAATCTTTTTTATGAATAAAAATGTTAATACTTTTGAGAGTAATTCTATTATTATTCGATTATGTTCCAAGAGCTGTGAATTTTTTTATGGATTGTAATAATAAGAAAAGATGAAACAAAAAAAATATATGCAAATATTCAACAATCTGTGATCAAGAATTCTCTTAATCAAAACAAAAAGTTAAAGGTATTCTCATAATATAAACAAAAAACATGGTATTCAAAAAGGAATCGTTCTTGCATATATGGGTGGGTATACAACATGCAAACACACTATGTATTCAGGATACATTGGAACAGTGAAATTTATTTACAAATAAGAGAGATTAACAGAAATACATATAGTAAGGTTAGGACAATGTTTTTTTCTGGCACACTATGTTGTGATTTGACTCTTGACTATAAAAGAAAGAGTAGAAATGAAATTAATTCTTCGCTTAATTTTATATACAGGGTGGTTGGTAACTGGTGGTACAGGCGGAAAGGGGGTGATTCTACGCGAAAAAAGAAGTCGAAAATATAGAATAAAAATTTTTTTTTTTAATTTTTTCCATCGAGACAACGATCTACAGTGAGATCCGTTGTAACGTACCGCACGCGTCCGAGCGAAAATTCAAAGTCGATTTTCTCGAAAACAAAACCTCAAACGAAAAATTTTTATTGTATATTTTCGACTTCTTTTTTCGCGTAGAATCATCCCCTTTCCACTTGTACCACCAGTTACCAATCACCCTGTATATAAGTATTATACGGTTTTATTTTACGTAAAATTTGCGAAAACGAAATATTGATTATTCAACAAGGTATTGAACATATTACATACATAAGTTACGTTCTATTTGCTAACTTTGATTAAATACTATGTATTAGTCGAAAGTATACTTTTGCTTCTCCATTGATAAATTTTCCATTTTCCATTTTCCATTTTCATATCAAGAAAAACAAACAATTAGTACTTAATATTTAAAAAACAACGACGACGAGGAAATAAGTGTTTGTCTATACAATTATTAAAAAAATATCAAGTTTCAAAGATTCACGTTCTGCTATTTTAACTAATGTTATTTAATATCTTTTTAACTAATGAGTGATTCAACAATATTTTATTAAAAATATGATTTTCTAATTTTAAAGTAGACAATAAATAGGAAGAAACTCTTAACTTATCTTTCGCCTTCAGAAAAATTACAGAATTATAATCGAAAGTCCAATAAAATTTACAATTATATAGTTTCTCGATAATACTGTATAAACTAGTGTACGTAAAATAATAAATATGTGCGCTGTAATAAGTATATCTGCGTGTACTCGCTGGTATCGTATTCGTGCGTACATATGTATATGCGTATATTTATATTATACGCGTATAGCATGACTTTTAATACATACAAGAACTCTCTGCATATGTTATATATTCCTGGGTATATAAAATAAGCGATAATCCGATTGAAATTGTATTTCCATGATATTGCCAATGTATTTCTATTACATAAATAATTTTATACAAATATCTGTATTATTCGTGTAATGTGAATAGATCGTTGTTTCTGTTGCACCTATGCACTGTCAATTAAAAGTGATCGAATATTCAAATAGTACATATAATACAAACAACATCTGCAGGATCATTAGGAACAAATGACAGTCAATTGATCGAAAGTAAATGGTAAATAACGAGGGAATATTCTCATATTTGAGTTATAAATATTCATTCTTGTTCAGAGGACGTGTTTCTCAGAGTGTTCACGGATGGAAACCTTCTTGCTATGAACAGATTGTTCTTGGAAATTTTCCGTATCGGACATATTTTCGTTGATCAATGCCCTGAGGGCAGCTGCCCTGCGTTCTCTTTTTGCCTGTCTCTCTGCAAGCTCTTCCATTTCAGACTCAAGGTCGTTCAAACGAGCTTTGGTTTGCATAGCCCTTGTCGCAGCAGCATTAGCGGACACTGAACTTTCGTCCTCGTTAATTAATTTCGACCATTTCGTAAGCATTGGTTTACTCTCTTCTAATCGATCGGTTTCGTCAAAAAGCTTCGAACGTCTTTTAAACGTACTTTCTGCCTCTTCGCTAATTGATTTTATGTCTTGCAGATTTTTCCTTGAACTGAGAATATTATCAACTTGATCCTGTCCTTGACGTAGGCGTCGTGGTTTTCTTAATACAGCATCGACCTCATCCTCTAACCCGAACGTGGCCAGTTTCGCTTTCAGATGTTGCGTCGTCGCTACGACATCGTTGGCAAAATTTTCAGCGAATCGACGTCGACTGCGCTGGCCACGGCTGTCGTAGACAATATCCTCGTCTTCGGGGAACAAGTTGTCGGTAGTCAAGGAAGGTAGTGGCAATTGGGAAGCGCGAATGGAAGGGTCTAATTCAAGGTCAAGGTCACGCCCAAAGGAAGTGTTGCGAGGACCAGAGAGGTCATGCGTGCCTGTAAAAACCGATATCTCAACATATGTACACTATTACACTTATACATATGTAGGTATGTATTATATTTGACTAATGAAAAAATAAATGTCATCTGAATTGAAACTCTCTTTAAAAGTCCACCATTTTACTGCAATGAAACCGCTTTTAGGTCGATGTAAGTACGCTGCCATTCGCTGCGTAATAGAATAAATAATTGACAAGTAGATATCGATAAACGGTTTAATTATAATTACGTTCAATTACGTTACAATTTATCGATTGCGGATTCATAGTTTATTTCTATATTTACTCTTTTCCGATAAATAAGCTTGGTAACAAGGATTGTTACAGTTTCAAGTAACAACTTTCTAATGGGATACAAATGGGAAACAATTATTTATTAAAATATGTACTTAAATAGAATCGGTATGTCAAATATTTGTTACTATGTTCGTAAACAAAATATTCAATGATTAAATTCGATATTTGTCTGGGGAGAGAGCTACTTATATTTCATTTTATTTTATATCATATACTTAAATTGAGTGATTCGTAAATTCTATTGATTTTCTCCTATTACATGCATATAAATTAACATAAAAAGATAGCAAAATCAAAAAATGAAGAACATAAATTAATATGAGTGAATTTCAATAACATACGATATAAATACATTATAATGTGTAATCAATGCTTGTAATTAATGATGATGTTTTCATTGTCGGTAATAATGATATATATCGTTCTTTTCAAATTTTGAATAATTTTTTTTTTAAATATCCGTAAACGAAATTGAAAATGTGATCTCGACATGCTCATAATGTAGGTTATTTATCACACATATCTATGTAATAAACACATATATTAGCTTGGTTCTATGTAATTTTACAATAGCACAGGTAATGTTATTCCATTTCTGTAACAAGAACTGAAGTTAAACTAAATTAATATATTTTATCTTTAGCTTAAAATATATAAAGGAACAGAATACACGAGCAATTTAAAATTGGAAAAAATAGTAATTAATATTTTATTCATATGTGGAACCTAAGTGATAAAAAATTAAGTTTCATTTTCTCACTTTTATATGAAGAAAAAAACGTTTAAATAACAGAAGTTCGTATCATGTCACAGGAGATAATAAATCATTAGACGTTGCAGCTTTATGTCACGATTTTATTTTATTTTATTATTGGGGCAAAGATTTTCTTACGATGACCCTCTATAGAGTAAAATTTTGTTGTGGCTGTAACAGCAGATGTATAGAACAGTACATTCGATTCATTTCACATCAGGACTTGGATCGGACATGCCACTCATTAATTACCAATATAATGAAAAATAATTCAGCATTTTCTTACTGACAATGAAAAGAGTTATTGACTACTACGGTTGTAATAGTTAAGGAGAAAGGGATTAGGATAAATTCACCCCTTAAAACCATTTTGGAAAACGACTGAAGATGTTACCGATGTCGCCTCGGCGGGCTGCGATCTCGTCAGCCAATGAAGTTCTTGGTTCAGAGAAAAGCGGTCGAGAACTGTATTTTCGATCCAAGTGGTCGACCATTGGCTTATAATATGATTCTCCTTTGTCATAGTTGCATCCATATACGCGTGTACGCGGCCTGCTAAGGATTGGCCTTGACATCTTGACAGAACTATTTCTTCGCTACCTGAAATTCCAAAGATTTATCATAAATAAACTGTTAAGTAGCTAACGATTCTGTAAGTGTTCGCAAAGAGCACCTCTTTGCAGTAAAATGACCTCTATACACCTTGACATATTTTGTTTTTTTTTTTTTATTTATTTATTAAAATTACAATCAATTCTCGCGTTGAGAATTTTCAGTAATTTTTCTGGCGTGGCGCAGTGACATGGCTGATTATTTATGATAAGTTAATACTTATTATAGATAAGTATAATTTATAAGTAAGTATTATAAATAAGTGGATATTACTTAATTTATATAACTAATTGAATCTAGCGTTTAAGTCTAGCGGGTAGTGTCCCTTCAGCCTGCGAATCTGGTCCGTCGTATCAAGTAGTCCAGTGATTAGGGGGTTTCGGTGTTTGTTGATTCTTTTGCTATATCTGTCGCTATATTTTGCTATTTCCTCTTTAACTGTGGGTATCTTGAGGTCGCGATGTATTGTTTCGTTGGTAACATACCAAGGTGCATCTATTAAGGATCTTAGCGTGACGTATTTTGTGATGCGTATTTTTCGTAGACCTAAGAATATGATCTTCGACTCTGTGAGGGTAGGAGTAAATTATGGGTATCTGTGAAAGAACAAGAGAGAGAGAGAGAGAGAGAGAGAGACAGAGAGACAGAGGTGTGAAAAATGTGAAAAGAGCATTAGTAAAAGGAAGCGGCAGGGTAGTGTCGGACTTACCCACTAAAACCGCACGATGGCCAACCTGACGCTTAACAGGAGTGCCCCAAGACCTCAAGTAGGAGACTATTCAAAGATTATTTTAAAAGAAGAATGTATTTATTTGACCATTTTATGGTAGGGGATACACTACTGAAGTAGAAATATTTGAATGGAAAGAGAGAGAAGAGCTGAAGAAGATACAGAATAAGTGAAATAGTACCTTAATTAGTATAGTTCTGAAAGATATTAAAATACAGAGGATTAGAATCAGGGCAGATTTAAGAGCAATAAATTTTGATTATTGAAATTAATTGAAATTGTTGAAATTTTGATGATTGAAATTAATGTTAGGTGATGAAACAAAGGAGCTTATGCTAGTAGAGGAATGTTTAAAAGAAAGAAGAGAAAAGAGCATAGAAACAAAGCAGAGTACCTGAATAGAAATTGGTATAGTTAGTTGGATATAGTACGGAAAAAGAATAAGAGGAAGAATATATATTAGGAATACTAATAAAGGGAGCGAGGACGAATAGGAAAAAGTAGGCATAAATGCAGGGTACGATATAACAAAATAAAGTTTAAGTACAATGAAGAAGACTAAAGAGAAAACACCCTACTGTATCCTGTCATACAAACACATACAGAGTATAGGTAGACCAAGGTATCTGAAAAAGGAGGCAGAAACAGGCAATGTCCTACTGGACAAATTGTAAAATTTGAATAAATAAATAAAAAAAAAAAAAGAAACAGGCAGGAAAAGTTTGGGAAGGCAAGATGTGGAAATTTAGAAAAAGAAAATAATTACTAAAGGGAAGAAAAGAACAAGGCACGTAAAATATGTGAGCTAGAAATAGGATAGTTAAAATTTAAGACATATAGTGGAAGATTGTATACGTATGAGCAGAACAAAATTAACGTTAAAGGAAACGTTAGGAAATGAAAGATCAGAGGTGATGGAAGGTGATGGGAGGGTTGAGAAGCGTGGTACGATTAAGGAAAGATAAAAAAAAAAGAAAAAATAAGCCAAAGGAATTACGTACATTGTTACAGAATTATGCAGTATTATGATCATATGATTCTAATTTTAGCCTCAGTTCTAGTTTTCGATTTAATCTTAAGTTATCATAAGTATGGAGAGAGTGGGTGGATGAATAAGTATATCGTACTATAGTTATTGTAAACCAAGTCTATTTCTACTTCTTGACCGCCAAATTGAAATCAAATATCCATCTATACAACTATCTATCTATCATAAAATCTGGTAACTTTGGTCAATTTGGCTTCTGAATCATTTTTTTTTGTTCATTGTCTTCTTGTGTCTGGGCTGCCGATAGAATATAAAAGGTTTGGAGAGTCCTATACCTTTGCACATAAATAAGCGCTACTGGATTTCGATCTATATCCGACATTAAACTGATTTTATACCGAGTACGAATAAAACTAACTAAATCAAGTAGATCAAGGATATGTCGTATATCAAGAACAAGTTTCATGGAAAGTGCATTTTATACACTTTTCAATCAATTGAAAGCTAACTAAACTAAATTTCTTGATTACTTTCGCACGAGCCATCGTTTAGTGACCATTTAATGACAATTTAAAAAAATAGTACGTAAGGACACAAACATGAAATGTGCAGTATTATTAGGTTTGATGAAAATATTAAGTTGTCCGAAAAGTTTCTTTCGTTTTATAAGAAAATAGTAGACGCACAATGTTTTTTGTTTTATATTAGTTTATTAAATTATGTACGAACATAGTAATAGAAATAGAACGAAATCATACCTAATTCAATAAAATAATATAAAACAGAAATTCTTGTTCATCTATTATCACCTTATGAAACGAAAGAAACTTTTCGGACAACCTAATACATATGTCAGGAAATGATAGCTGCTACTCTCAAGTAGCAAATAGGAAAATATTGGTTTGCTAAATATTGGCTATTGGTCTTAACAAATGAATAAAACACATAATATTAATACAAAAATACTATGCTGTGTCTGATAAGGATTCTTATTTAATGCGAAATTTTTATAGATAATTACAGTAATCTTTCATAATAAAGGATTCAAATTCGCCAAAACACGGACATCAATTCTACGATCGTGTGACTACATCTACAAGAACGCGTCAAATATAACAATGTCTGTACCGATAGATTGGCGGATGTCATAGTCATACTTGTCCATCGTCGCCGTTGTGTTATACGGATGTGTGATTGCTCGTCAAATTCTAATGCATTGCATCACTCCGAAGTTTAATGACACTGTATCAATATCGGATCTTGTTCTCTAATCAAGACAGTACATAGTAATTCTTGTATCGATGCAAGTCGCAACGAATCTACACATATAAGCCTCTCAGAAGCCAAACTGATTAAACTCCACCTTTATGGAGTTTTCAATTTCATTATTCAGAAACATAATCACCGTGAAACTTCTTTAAAAAATGTATAAATTACTTCCATGAATTTATTTGCCTAAAGGAAACCGTATAAACAATCATAAATTCCAATGTGAGTTTTAAAAAATATCATTTGCAATGTTTTCATATTTTTTTTTTACATTTTCAATGCTCGCAACATGTAGAACGCAACATTTAGCATATGTAGATTGCTTTAGAAGCCTACACTACACTTTGCTACAGCAGGATATACATACACTACTGAACACAAGTACTTGGACACTTGCTGCAAGCCAATTAAAACATTGATATTTTTATTATATCTTCAACATTATGATAGAAGAATGTTTCTCTACTGTTAACTATTTACTTCTTGCTATAACTGAAACTGAATGTTCTGCTAAATTGAAACTGAAACGAGGATTATGTTTGGATCAATCAATTTCATATTTATCTCTAATATATAGTTCACACTTCATAAAATCTATATAAACTTTTAGAATGTGGTTTGAAACGCGTGTTCTAATTGTTGTAACAATAAGAGATACATTTAAGAGATACATTTAAAGTCACTTAACTTAGGTGTTTCCGTAAAAGCAATTTTCATTTATTTTCAATTATTGCTCTTTTATTTAAGAAACCAAAGAGACAACTGCAAAATTCAAGGCGTGTGCTACTTAGGAATATATCCTTTATGATGTAGATATGTATGTGAAAAGAAAAATGATCCGCGCTGTACAAATTTTGATCAACTTTTATCGTTTACATAAATAAATTTCTACTTTATTTTACTATATTTTTTTTTACTATTTCCGAGATAAACATTCAAATAAATTGCATCCTGAAAATTATAATATAAATTTATATTTTTAGTTACGCGGTTATCTGTTTACTTATATGGTTTTTTAGATAAAAATGAACTCTTCAATTGCCTGCGTGTATGTACTACCCTGTATTTATTCTATAGTATGTATAAGCACATTAATCTAATGCTTCACTTTTCATTTTTTGATTGTTTTTAACAGACTTTTCACTGAAAAAGCGTTTCATATAATGCTTTGTTAATTTTACTGCCATAATGTCAAGAAAAAGGTAAATACACATTTTGTTTTGAGTTTACATATAGAATTTATTAATACTTTTCTGATATTTCAGTTTGTACGTGAGTAGTCGGCGATAAAAAGATTTGGACATTGTACAATTTTAATTCCTAAGCTTTATATTTTCAGTAAATGTACAAGGACCAACAAAAACGTATTACATCACTTTACATTACGCTATTATTAGTGATTATTTATTCTTGTCTAAATATTAATATAAGCACTAAAAGAAAGTGAATTTTTATGTCAGAAAAAGTTTCGGACACTAATACTAAAATTACTATAATACTAAATACTAAATTAATAATACTAAAAATACATGTAAAATTAATCAAATGATACATATAAAACTAAAACCAATAATGATTATTCACTAAAATTTAATATTTAGTTGGGTATGCTATATGCTTGATAATATGGTGTTTTGTAATAGTGAAAATAAGCTTTTTTAAATAATCAATACTGCTTTGTTTCCTTTTTTTAAACGTTTTTGAATTGTTTTTTATCGTATCCGTTGTTTTACGAATTGACTTTTTCTATTCGTAGTGATATATTACTAACTATCGTATTTCAAAATTTGTATATTCCCTTTTGCTATTCATTCTGAATAAATGAGTAACGAAATTAATGCACATTTGCAATCCGATGTGTTCACACTTGCTTTTCTTTACTGAGAAATTTCTGAATGGATATTTTGCGTCTGGAACTTTTTGTGACATAGAAATTCGCTCTTTTTCAATATTTCTTTTAAAATTTAGACAACAATAAATAATAACTCAAAAATTCTTTTTCTGCTATTATCTATGTAGTATAGTGTAACATAATGTAATACATTTTTGTTGGTGCTTGTACATTTACTGAAAATATAAAACTTAGAAATTAAAATTGTGCAATGTGCAAATATTTTTGTGACCGGTTGTCTTTGAAATCTAGTAACGCCTCTGTCTTTACTTACTACGCAAAATACTGAATACTAATACAATACAGTACATAATATTGATATTATGACTCTAGCGTGTTGCTGTTTGTATTATTCGTTTATTTCAACTTTTACTGTTAAGTCAAATTTGTTTACCATTCACTTTCCAGTGAACTTCTTCATTTAATGAAATATAGTAAACAAATTTATCCTGGAAGAATGTGAGGTAACAGGGGGATCAAAGGCACTGGAAGAGACACTAAAGGAGACAGGAGAGGGGCTAGCAGTGCTGAAAGAGATAATGGAGAAAAGAAGAGAATACAGCTAGAATCAAAGGCCAAAGAACGACAGGCAGAAGGGTTAGGGCAATATAACAAAGTGCAATGTAACATATGTCGTATTACAAGGTGGCATAAGTGTACTGTAAGGTGACTTAAGTAGTAATGTAAGAAAGTATGTAAACCGGAAGTTGTCCAAAGCCGAAAGGCAGGAACTAAGTTTAATAAATAATAGTAAACAAATTTATCTTATTCAAAGAAAAATATAAAATTAGATATAAAAAATGGTAATAAAAAATAATTAAAATTTCATTAAAAATAAACAAATACTTATATAAAGAATATTTCACATATATTTTAAAACAAATTCTCGAAACCTGTTGTTTTTATGAATAGAGATAATAAATGACAAAAGATTGTAACATAATCTGAGCTATGGAAATTGGAGGGTTAATATTGCGCAAAAGATGTAAAAATAGTAAGAAGAGAATAATGAGAATGGGATACTTTTCTGAATTGTAAAAACAACAAAAATTGTTCATTTAGTGGAATATTAAACAAATATACACTATACCTAAGTATTAAAATCTGAGACACAAATACTTTTGTATTTCTATTGTATAATCTTAAATTAAGATACAATACGTTATACGTATACATGGCAGGTTGCCAGATCATTTCATTTTCACGTATAATTTTCCAGTTGGCAATGTATAACGGCGTCGCATCATTAAATAGTTGGAAATGTGTAATTAGACGTTAAACCAAAAAACTATTTTCATCAAACTAAATTATAAAACGAATAGGCTCTGTTGAGAAACACTACAAAGGAATTAAAATTTCTCAATTATTTTATTCCAAGCATGTATTTCACCATTTGTATTATATTTTGAAAACAACTTTTTCGGAATAAGCAAAGTAAAAAAAAGTTAAAAATTTTTTTTGTAATATCACCTAACTACAAATAACATATTACTGATTAATTGAAGATAATGATAATTTCGAATTGAAGTTGTTCCTTTCCTGTTGCCTTTTTTGTTATTTAATCTTTTTATTTTAAACAATTTTTCAATGGAAAATGTATGAAATACTAAATTCCTCGTGTAATGTTGCTATAGAGTTTCTAGCATGAGTAACCAGTAAATTGGAACAAGAGAGCAACTATAAGTTGGTCAAAAATAGACCATGTCTAATTTGGTGTCCGTGAACTGAACTGGCACATAGTACTCTCAAGTCCCGGACGACCGCCTTCAATTACGAAGTATGTCTGACCTTATTGTTTTTTTCAGATTTATCTCTTTTATTCTTATTATTCTCTCGATTTATTTAGTTATTTTTATATTTTTCTTCCCCTAAATCAATCATTTCGTTTCTGTTTTACGTAAGAACCAACAAGAAATATAGTATTTTCGCTTTCGTAAGTATATTTCACTTACTTTCAAACCAATTAAAGTGATAGGATATATACTGTACTTGCAGCTCGATATCAAGGTATTGATTTTTTATATCAAATATTCAATTCCTATATTGACTCAACAATACAAATAAACGTAAATTCAGACACAACTAGATATTATCTAAACTCAATGATTACTTCGGAGGCATATATGTTCTGTTATGTTGTAAAAGATATATCGCTGTGATCAGAATTTTAATTTAAAGTATATTTTAAGTAAGATATATTTAATACGCATTTAAAATATAAATTGATGTTATGGAGTGTTATGGCAATAATATATATAATATAGAAGTATTTATATGTATACATATGATACTATATTTTCATATATTATATCTGAAAACATTGAGTTATTGAAATGTACGAATGGTGCAATGAATACTTACTTACCTATATTACTATCTTTAATTATTATTGTATCTAATAATTGTAGTACATACTTTTATTAAATTTATATGCTTCAAGTTCTATCACATACTGTTAAATTATATTTATTGGAATAAATATTTAATTATCACAGTATATATAATGTATCAAATCTAAAATATTTATTCTGAAAAGATAGACATAATACATAACTAACAAAATTTCTAATTCAATTTTTGCAACATTAAAATAGCTTGATCTATCATGAACTATCAGGAGTAGTTTGTAATGGTTTATAATAATGATATACGTCAATTATTTTATCTTAATCTCTTTAAGAATTGTTTTCTTTCTCTGCTCATATTTTATGCTTTCACAAAAAAATTACGTACTACGAATAGTATATTACGTATATATGTTAATATAAAATCACAATGAAATTTCTGAAAAACTTAAAGTTAAATATAAGATGTATGCACGCATAAACCAAGTTATTATAATCGATTCAGTTCAAACGTAATTGTAGTATTACAAGATTTTGATATGCAACGAATAAAAAAAGGATATAAAATTGATATGATTCAATCAACTTGTAAACATTTTACATTGCTTCTATGTAATTACTATTTAAGTATACAAAATGTCAAAATCAGTATTAAATATTTCGTAATTTGTAACATTTACGTAATGTCATAGAAACAACATAAACAAGTGAACTTCAACTATACAAGTAGTCAAACTAGTCAAAATATACTTAAACTAGAGTTATACAAGATAACTATCATAAGTAGATAACACGATGTATGTTTTCGAAAAACACTCCTTTCACATTTACAACAAAACAGAACATGAGGTCCCTGATAATTTATTAAAACATGTATAAGAAACAAGAATCAAAAATGCCATATTATGTAAATAGCAAGTAAAACATACAAAATTAAAGTCTAGAACTAAATTTTTTTCTAATACAACCAGGTATGAAACATTATATTTCAATTTCTTAAAAACTAGCTAATATAATATTTTTCTAATCTGTTCTCATAATAAATCTACCCATATACATTCGATATGAAAAATACAGCAACATCTGTCTATAATTACTCTTCCAAGTAAAAATCGAATACTTCACTCTCAATTTTTTATTTTCTTACTTCGATAATATTAAGTTGTGTAACGTATTATAATTATTTAAATTTAGTATAACAATCACCAAAAAAGTTATGAAGAAATTAATGTTATTGAATCAGTTATTTAAACTAAACAAAAGTTTTACACTGCATGTCTATTTAAAAAATTTTACCGATTTTGGAGAATATATCACGTTTTGAAGAATATAAGTAATATACCTACTTGTAATTTTAACGTGATATTTATCGTCCTTTTTGTATGTAGTTATTTATATTTACGGTTTTACATATATTAAAAAAAAAACAATTTTTATTTTCCAACTCTGTGTGACAAAATAAAATTGACTTGTCAATGAAGCTTAGTAATGTTTATAATTATCAGCGGACAATTACCAATTAAAAAAATATAAATTTAATATAAAATTAAGTATCTAATGCACAACAAAGCTACTTAAATAATATTTTGTTATGTTAAAAAGAACATTAAAACATTTATGAATTGAGAGAAATATTAAACATTTTAAAAATGTTTATCGATGTGTAATAACTATAGAAATTCTTCGTATTTTTATTTTTATTGTTATTTTTATCATCAATATTACTTTTATCATTATTATTCTTATTAATATTATTAGTACAGTTGTTGTCATTGTCATTAATATTTTGTTATTTAATAATTTCAATAATTTTGTTATCATTCACATCGTAACTAACACAAGTCTTATAAAGGCATAATTATTTATTAAATTATGATGCATTTTTTTATGAAGTTTAATTTGAAACGAAGAGTAGGTACATACCTAAATAAGTACATACATATATTCAGTAGTGAGAGTGCGTTCGTTAACACGTTACGTAAGAACTACCAAATTTAGCTTGCAGACATAGTTTTAAAATAATGATATCGATTCCAAAATCATTTCAATCGAATCATTTTTTTATAATTTGCAACAAAAATAAATATTTCAGATTTATTAACGACTTTCTATTTCAGCCATTATTGTCTATATTTCAAAAACCTTTATTATACATAATGCGGTTTTTAAGCGTATTTGAAATAACTAAGTGTAATCAGATGTTAGTTATAATATACAATTATTTAAAATGCCAAAACGAATTTCTTAAACATTTAAAAAAATATAATAAGTAATTCGAATTATTATAAAAATATATAAATATAACTAAATGAAATATTTTTTAATTTTTGATCAAATTTATTTAGCGTAAAATAGGTATCGTAATAAAATTAAAAAATCGTGGAAGTTGTGAAATGTGATAAACAATAGAGATAAATGAAAATTAGGCTAATGAAAAAAGATCAGAAGAGAGTAACAATAGATAGCAACGTTTCTATTTTATACATGTCTTATGGTTATAACTTTCATTAGGCCCAAAAAAGCAAAGTTTTAAGGTAGATTAATATAGTATATTCACGTCAAAGTCAATACTAGCAATGTAGATATTATAGTATTGTCATTATTACCCTATCCGCGATTTTTAACTGAACACTTTTCACGAATGACACTGTACTAAATGCATTCAATGTTACTCGAATAAATCAATTTAATTTATATATATGTATATTCTAATAAGCATCACACAAGCATACATAAGTATAAAAAAATGTATGGCATTATAAAATTATAATATTTTGTACCTGAACTTACAGGGTATCCTATAAGACGTTATTTGCTCGGAAGTAGCGACACGACTCTCGCAGACGTTGTTACGTTCGTTATTTCCCACTCCTTTCAAGATCCTACCCCTTCCCCTTTATTCTGTTTCATCTAATATGTATTTCTCACTAATTTACTTGTACTCGATAAAAGTACACATCATCCATCACACATCCATCTAAGTATATTCGCGTTAATAATATGAAAAATAATAATTTAATAATATGAAATTTTAAATAATATGAAAAATGGCTTCCAAAAATATTACGTGCCATTTACGTAGCATCGTCAACATTATTTTTGTTAACAAAACTACTGATCCAAGTCATTTTAGCTTGAGGCATTTTACGCTCAAAGCTGCACATTATAAAAGAATTTGCTCATGTTAAGTACATAATACTAACAATAAGATGATATGACGTTATAGTATATAGTACATCTAATAAGTATACATACTTGATAGGTGTATTATATATATACATATATAGATACATACTTTTATGGCACGCTTTTATGTATCTTCTAGAATTAGTGTATGACTAATACTAACATATGTACATTTATTTGAAATCTAATGCGTGGTATTTTACACGTTTTCTATTACCAATGTATGACACATATGTTTATGTATTGTGATAGCGAGTATATAGTATCGAACAACTATTAATAATCGCACATGTATTGTAGAACCTCCAAGCAGAGTAATGTTATAAATTGTGTATATATTTATATATACGTTCCAGAAAAAATCACAATTTTACTTTAAGAAGTGCAAAGCTAATTCGTGATGCAAAGGTAATTTATTCATCCAACCTCCTAGAATTTCATGTTCAACTTTATCTAATTTTGTATTTATATTTCTTTAACTTGATTCACCTAACTTATTGGCTATTTATTATTAGTCATAGCAAAGTCAATATGCGTTTTACCTAAAGAACTATATGCACTAAACAACCCAATCAAATTAGTCTTTTACGCAATATTAAATAATATCTGAAATTTTCTTACGCGATGGCGATACCGATAGATTGTATTACCTATATAATTCTTATATCATATATATCACCATACATATATATCATGTTCAGAGACGAATCCCATATATTTTTCACTCAAGATTTGTTGGACGGATTTTGTAAACAATTTGTAAACAATTTCCAAAGGTGACGAAAACAGGGTTTTGTATATAACAACGAATCTAATAATCGGATCGCAATAAAAATTGTATTTTTAGATAAAACAAGTTTCGAATAAAAATTGCATTAAAAACATCTATCAAATGAGACATCACGCGTTAGCATTGATTAATTTGTTGAGCCATAAATAAATAAGAACCATCCAAAATCGCACTATTTTCAGTCGTTAATTATTCATATGAAATTGAATATACAAAGTTTATAGTTTCACACTTTGTGAAAATGTAGTATTTTTTCATTCGTAAAAAGTGTGCAAAATTTCCCCAATATTTCACCCAATATTTACTAGTTTCTGCAAAAAGATATTTGGCAACTAAAAGGCGTCTTCGTAGAACTTAATTTCTACAATTTCCGGAAATTATGCTTAATAAATAAATTGATTTCAGAATTAGAATTTATATTTGTTTACGTTTAATTTTCGTCATTAATTTGCTGTGGATCATAATCATTAACATTACCTGTATATATTTTTATAACTAATATTAAGAAAGATAGAATTGTAACTTTATTATTAAATAATTAAAGATTTTTAGTCATTTTTATTATAATTATGCGTTTATTTTGGTCTGTATTATTGAATTCTAGTAATTTTTACTTTTTTAATATAAATATTAATGATAAATGTTATATTATTTATACTATAAACGTGTCTCATTAATGTTAATATAATTATAAACAGTAAAATGATGTGCAGTTTCTGACGCCATTGTTTAAAATAGTTTACGATTAAAAAATCAATTTGTTTCAAGTTGTACATGATAGTGCAACTCTTCCAGAGTAGAAAAAGCCCCCATCAGTTGCTGTATTTCCGAAAATTGTAGAAATTAAGTTCTACGAAAACGCCTTTTTAATTGTTAAACAGCTTTTTGTAAAATTTAATAAACATTTGGGGATGAAATCTTGCACACTTTTTACAAATGAAAAAAGCTACATTTTCACAAAGTTTCAACTTTGTATACTCACTCATTTTACATAATAAGTGATTGAAAATAATGTGATTTTGGACGGTTTTCATTTATTTACGGCTCAAAGAATTAACCAATCGTAACATTTCATTCGATAAATACTTTTAATACATACAGCTCTTATAACTAACTTTCGGCACGTTGTTATATGCTAAACTTATTCGTTAACTTTTGTTTACAAAATCCGTGTAAGAAATCTCGAATGGCAAATATATAGGATTTCTTCCTGAACATGATTTTTATAAGTTCGCGCAAGAAAATTTCAGATACCATTTAATGTTGAATTTGACTTTTAAGACTAATTTGACTAAACTAAAAGCTTTATTCCTACATACTAGTATCATGTCAATACATTGTTTATACAATGTTAGCTTTGCACCAATAACATCATATTATCAGGTGTATAAAAATCGTAGGCATGACTATTTATATCTTTCAATCAGAAACTACAATTATGAGTAAGTGCGTATTGGTATGAATTCGGTATTTGCACATTTTTAACTAATTATGTAAATGAATTCACGCAGATAACATTATAGACAGGTATTTCTTGTTTCAAAAATTATTAGAAATGAGAAAGTTACAAACAATTAAAAATTTTTTTACCGACGAACGTGTGACGTCATAATATTACTACGTCGTCTGCAACAGCGCTACAAACCAAGGAAGAAATTTCTTCTCTGAATAGAGTAACATGAACCGCATCTCTTATATTTATACATTAGGTTAGTGTTGCGAAAGACTGTTTAGGCTGACTTCATGTAACACGTACAATGCAATATAGGTATATGCAGAGTCACCAACGTAACTTGAAACCCGCGGGCTCAAGAACTTGGAAAATGGCAACATAACCACATGTACGCTTACTACAGAATTACTTGCGCCATCTATGAGTTACTGGTAGAACTAGAGTTAGATATAGACCTTATAGTGCACAGCGATTATGTATTTTAAAATTAATCTTGTACGGAAATACCATGTTGCTTCGCATTTTTACAAGTATCATAACACTTTCTCTACTTCATTCGATATGTATCATTCTTAACGCTTTAAACATTTTCTGTTATGTTATAATTTAAAATTTGTTAACAGTCACTTTCTACAAATGCTTTAATGCTTAACTATCCATTTAAATATCCTCAATATCCTCTATCTACACCATGAGTTTACACTTCTTGAAACTTTTTGTACTTGCATTTGAAATGCCTTTCAAAGATTTTCATTAAATTTTTCGCAAACTGGTTTAAGTTAACAATGTTTCTAAAATATCGTTACAAAATCTACCGTTACAATTTCATATTATTTGTTTACATTTATCAGGCCTGTAAGTATGAAACCGGAATTTGCCTATAGATGGCCCTAGCTGATAATGTGTCATTGATACCAAAAGTCTTTGTTGACATCTCACAAGCATTTTCGACTCGGAACAATGCAAGTTTCATACAACAGCATAGTTTGTAATAGCGTTGAACATGTCAAATTTTGTGCCTGGAAACTACGATTTGCGGACAGCATTGATTTTCTGTTACCATTTGAGGAAAACTGCTGCAGAATCGCATCGAATGCTTGTCGAAGCTTACGGTAAGCATGCTCTTGGTAAATCATAGTGCTTTGAGTGGTTTAAAAAATTCAAAAATGGCAATTTTGACGTGAAGACCGAAGGACGTGGAAGACCACCGAAAAAGTTTCAAGACAGCGAATTGCAGGCATTGTTGGATGAGGATGACACTTAAACGCAACAACAACTCGCTGATCAATTAAACGTGTCACGAGAAGCCGTCTCCATACGTTTGAAAGCCATGAGAAGGATCCAGAAGATGGAAAAATGGGTTCCATATGAACCGAATGAAAGACAGCAGGAAAACCGAAAAACCACTTGCGAAATGCTGCTCGCCAGATACAAAAGAAAGTCATTTCTCCACCGAATTGTGACTGGCGATGAAAAGTGGATATATTTTGAGAATCCTAACCCAGGCGAACCACCGACATCGACTACAAGACCAAATCGCCATGGACGGAAGACAATGCTCTGTGTTTGGTGGGATCAGAAGGGTGTGATCTATTATGAGCTGTTAAAACCTGGCGAAACCGTTAATACTGAGCGCTACCGACAACAAATGATCGATTTGAATCAAGCTTTGCGTGAAAAACGACCAGAATATCAAACAAGGCAACACAAAGTAATTTTGCTTCATGATAATGCACCATCACATACAGCAAAACCGGTTAAGGAAACGATTGAAGCGTTCAGTTGGGAAATACTTCCGCACGTGGCTTACTCACCAGACTTGGCTCCGTCCGATTACTTATTTGCATCACGTGGAAGACCACCGAAAAAGTTTCAAGACAGCGAATTGCAGGCATTGTTGGATGAGGATGACACTTAAACGCAACAACAACTCGCTGATCAATTAAACGTGTCACGAGAAGCCGTCTCCATACGTTTGAAAGCCATGAGAAGGATCCAGAAGATGGAAAAATGGGTTCCATATGAACCGAATGAAAGACAGCAGGAAAACCGAAAAACCACTTGCGAAATGCTGCTCGCCAGATACAAAAGAAAGTCATTTCTCCACCGAATTGTGACTGGCGATGAAAAGTGGATATATTTTGAGAATCCTAACCCAGGCGAACCACCGACATCGACTACAAGACCAAATCGCCATGGACGGAAGACAATGCTCTGTGTTTGGTGGGATCAGAAGGGTGTGATCTATTATGAGCTGTTAAAACCTGGCGAAACCGTTAATACTGAGCGCTACCGACAACAAATGATCGATTTGAATCAAGCTTTGCGTGAAAAACGACCAGAATATCAAACAAGGCAACACAAAGTAATTTTGCTTCATGATAATGCACCATCACATACAGCAAAACCGGTTAAGGAAACGATTGAAGCGTTCAGTTGGGAAATACTTCCGCACGTGGCTTACTCACCAGACTTGGCTCCGTCCGATTACTTATTTGCATCGATGGGA